TGGTTACGACCCTGAGAAGCTGTTTCTTTACCTCAGAATCGATATCCCAGCCGACTGTAAGTTCCTCGCCGGGGCTGATCTCGCGCGTCGCTAGGAAGGAGAAGTGGTAGTCGTTGCTGGAGTCAATCAAGATCTTCATAGACATGTTGGGGTTGCAACTTCTCCGGGCGTATCGGAGGATGTTGCCTTCTCGCCGTGTGTCGATGTATATTGGCAGATGGGGTGGGAAGAAGACGAAGGGTTCAGGGTGTCGCAGCAAGTCCCATCTGTTGGATGCATCGGAGTAGTAATCTGCCTTTCGACCGATGAGACCTTTGAGCTCTCCAACATAGCCACCATCTGGTACCGGAGTTTCGGCGGTAATGAAGTGCCATTGTGGGTGCAGACCATGCGCTAGTACACCCGAGTCGACATCTGTCTGTTTCACAATCTCTGGCGCAGTTGTTGTTTCGAGTTCCTGGATGGTCATGTCAATGCGTGAGAAGATGTCCTGTGGCTTCTTGCCTCCGCTTGCTTCGGCCAGTGCTTCGGGGTCTTGTAGCCACATAGCAATGTCGTTTGCGACATCGATTCGGGTGTAAGAGTTGGACTCAGCGGAGGGTGGTTCTGGTTGCCGATAGAGATGTATGAACTCGGTTGAGTAATCCTCGGTAGAAGCCTCTGGGTTGGTGGGTGACTTCATAGGACTGTGGCCATTGAGCATAACTGAAGCGCCTCGTTTCCGTGATGTTGGCACGAGAGCTGGCGCTTGACTAACGACGCCTACAGAACCCGATGGACGATGGTTTGTCTTTGGACGCTTATTTGGCGGTGGCTGATCTCGTGGGCTACCACTTTTGCGGTCGGGGGTATAGTGCAGGTCCCCATTGGTTTGCACTGGCCACCCATTGGGTTGTCCAGGGCCATGGGCGTCCTTGGTTCGCTTCTTGGGGTTCTTGGCGGAGGCTTTCGGTCTGCCCTTGCGCTCGCCGATGCTGTGTACTTCCCTTCGGATGCGTTGCTTCTCGGAAGCGCTTTTTGCGTCGATAGCTCTGGGAAGGCAGTCGGCGCACTCGTGTACGTCGGGGACGTGTTGGGCAGACTCGTAGTAACACACGATGTGCTGCCACGTATCGCACTTCTCGCACAAGACTGTGTTGCCGTCGTCATCTGAGTATCCGCAGATGCATTTTATCGTGGATGACTCTTCGTCCTCAACGGTGGGTTCGAGTGGAGGCGAGGCGGTCGCGAAGGTGGGTGGTGGTGGGCCAGCGTAGAGGGCGAGAGGAGCCGGCTGATGATCAGCATACGCCTGAACCGACGAGACGTCTGTCATAATCTGGCAATGACGCTCGCTTGTATGTGGTGTCATGTAGTGGGTGCTCAGGCTCTGTGTTCGTGGGATCGCATGACGCCCAACGCGCGACGAGAGAGAGCAGGGCGACCGACGGCGACTCGAGACGGATCAAGTGACCGCCGTCAACGGAGTGCCGGGCTTTGTGACGAGTGGTCGAGCTACACAGAGGGTGTGGCTAAGGGGAAGAGGGTTGCGTGTCGGAGCGCAGCGTGTGCGGATAGGGAGCAGGAGGGCGATGGGGGCTCAGGAACGTCACTATGGGCGTGAAATCGAAAGCCTATCATGAAGAGAGGGTGTTGAGACTGAGTGTGTTCGAGTTGGAGCGATGCGCCGGCAGGTGAGGCAGGGTGGTGAGGGTGGAGGGCTCGAGGCGGCTTCGGAGGGAGGAGTTGGCTGAGGCGTGCTGTCACAAAGGAAGCGGCGCGCGCACAACGAGAGGCGAGGGCGTCGACAGTCGGTGCGACTGTGCGGTTAGTACTCCAGATGGCGACGGCAGGGCAACGACGGCATCAGGCGGTTGGGGAGTCAGAACGGCAGTGGAGAATCGAGCGTGCGAATGTCCTGAGAATGAATGGCCCCAACTCTCGCGAGCGAGAAGGGCTTAGCTTGCGAGGCCCGTGCACCACCAAGGACATGGCCAGGAGTGAACGCTAGATGTAATTAGTGAACGAGGGGTTACAGCAAGTGCGAGATCAAATTCGTGGCGCGAGGGGCCATGTCGACGCCCGAGCAGAGGCGCCGCCTAGACGGATATCCCGTGGCTGGGACATGCGAGATGGCCACTGGGGCAGCATTAAGAGGATGATGAAAATGCAAAAACATGTCACGGCCTGGTGGTTTGGGCAATGGATGTGACGAGAGAAAGCGGCGGAATCCTGGAGGCAGGCTAACGCGGCGGGCGAATGAGAGCGCGGCCGGCACGAAGCCTGCAGGCGCGCCAGGCCCGATGCAGATGGCGCTGGTCAGACTGTCGCGCGCAGATCAAGTTCGGAGGGCCGAGCGCCGTGCCAGGCCCCAAGGCTGCGAGGAAATGCAGGCCCAACGTTCTTCTGTGCTTCATTCCACGTCTCTTGAGTCGCATCAGCATGGCGTGCTGTGTCTGTGTGAGCGGTGCTGGCACGGAAGGCGCGAGCGCGAGCGGCTGGTCGGGGCAGGCGCACGCATGCGCTGAAGCGAATAAACAACGATAAGGGCCCCGCCTGGAACGCGATGAAACATGCTGCATTGCTTCGCCACCCCAAACGTCATCAACGGCTGGGGTCCACCGTCGCCGCCTGCTATCTATATGTCGTCGACGCGGAGCCTGCCTGTTGCGCCCAAACGATAACCAACTTCATCCGCCTTGTGTCCTCCGGCTCCGCACCGTGTCCTGCACCTGCACCTGCACCAGTCGCGTCACCCGTTCCGGTTGCTACCAAACAAGCTGACGACTGCACATGTCAACAAATATCAATGCGCCACTAACAATGCAATCGCAGCAATAGATCTTGACGACAACACCACTCTTGCCCGAACCGAGTCGCGCCGGCGTCGATTCTCAACCACCCTCTCCGTCGTCTCATTCGTTTTTGTGATTGTAAATCATGGACAAGGAAAACAAATATTACCTAAGGAAAGATTGAAGGCAGGAGCGTCTGTAGGAGCTGTGTTGGTACCACCGCAGGCATGGGACAAGATCGACGGACACACAAGGTACAGGACAACATAAGAAGCTGTCTGTCGAAATGCGGCATTCATTGAAGGAGGATGCCGATGATCGAGGGCCGAGGGCGTTGTTACTTGCCTACCGAAGACGCATCCTGCTGCTCTGGTACCGATTATGGACGGCTCATTGCCTCAAACGACGATTGCATGCCATGCCAATCATCCGTTCACGTCTCTATGGCACGAAACTCGTCTCGCATTTCGAATATCCTCTAGACAAATTCAAGGTGAAAGTATACATTATCTTGGGTTATTTTCACCTGATAGAATTTAATAGTGTGTATGCAGCAAATGCGACACAAGTTTTATGGTCCCTCGGTAACGTGAATCATTCAGTACTTGTCAAACCGTTCAAAAATGTGTTATCGAGAAGATGTATTGAAGGCTGTGGCTGCTTGGGAATCAGCCAATGCGGCAAGACTAATGCTCTAGTGGTGATGCTAAGGCAGGACTGGAATGAAGGGGCTCAGAGGAGAGATCTGAACAACTGTTTCTAAACGAGGGCAAAGCGCCATAAGTAGGAAATTGGATAACACCGACACATCCTGATGGCATGGCGCCGAATATCAGCGTCCTTCTTCTAGTGCTCGCGCATGCGTAAAGCTCGCCTGCAAATCCCTCTTACTGTCAGTCACTTCGTTCCCCTGGGTTCATAAAGTCAGCGATATACACAGGCGGCATTCATCTATGGGTTGTACCCACTGTATTATGGTTTCCAGCCATCTCATCTTCCGTTGCTGGCACCTTATCCTTCATAAAGTCCGCTTGCGCCTCTTCCTTTCCGTAATTTTGGGTGTGTACTGCAGTAGGAGAATAGCGTGACGATGGTTCTCGCGCCCACTCTGCTATGGTGAGAAGAAGTGATCGGTAGAGCCATCTCGATCGACGTTGGTGTGAAGGGGTTGTTTGGTCCTCCATGTTGCTGGGCGAAGATGTAGATGAAGTTGTTCTCGAAGATGAGATCGATGTAGACATAGGCATCTCCACCGCAGCATGCGAATACTGACAAGCGAATAACGAAGGAAGGAGGAAACCAAGCATCTGTTCTGACTCTTTTTCTCGAGCCCAAGCCGACGATGTGATCTAGTGGAAGTTTTCGAAGAACGTTGAGAGGCTGGTGATTGAGGGGGTCAGAAAATGAAGAGATTCAGCGTACCCAGAGACCTCCTAAGCATCCAAGATCAGAGTTCTGCGAGACACATTCCTATATACCCAAACGCCTTGGCCCCAAAGTATAGTGGCGGCGCAGCAGCAGGCAGACAGATCCCACCGTACAACGTCATACATGGCGTTCTCCCCCTCCCTAATCTGACATTCTACAGCCAAGGGTTCTGCGCCGCATCCTAATTTAGACACACCTAGGGTTATCGTGTCTTTTGGCCCTCTCCTGTACAGAGCCGCACCAGTCGGAGAATTGTCAAGTACGAGCGCTGATAAGCTCATGCGGTCTTGCTCATTAGCGGTAATAAGCGCGACGCGTGAGATTTGTGAAGCATAGCGCTGGATGTCCAGGGGCAGCTGTGACGATGTCGCGATGCTGCATGTGGAGAAAAAACAAGGAGGAGCAATATCGGCAGATGACTGACCCGATGCAACGGTTAGTGGACATGGCGGAAAACAAAAGAGAAACAAGGCTTGCGAAGCAGGTATCACGAGGTACATTGTACGAGCAAGAGACATGTCATAATGTACGATGGTTTCTTTATTCGATTCTACTTCGAACCACAAATGTTATTCGGGCAGTCCTGTACTTCGGCAGCCTCCCAATGTATACAATACAGTGAAAGCCGCTCAAGGTGCCTCCTGATGCTGTCCCTTCATGCTCTCATCGTGGCTTTGTCGTCAAAGTATGCTTGCCAGACCAATACAGCCCCAAGGGCAATATTAACACTCATATCCAGACGTCAAGGCTGGACCTGCTCTCCTCTCCGAAATTACCCAGGGTTTTAGAAAAGGCATCCTATAGCTGCTCTTCTTTTACCCTAGTGACCTCCTCCCAGAGCTGCTTTGCGTTTTCGGCTTTCAGCTGTCGACAGTCAGTTGCATTCTATCTTTCAGACCAAACAATGTACATACCTTGAGTAGGTGCATCTCCAATTCACCCTCCAGATTAGGCGAATTGAAGAGCAACCGGGTATCCTTCGGCTTGTCACCCTGTGCATCGCCTCCAAATACCAAGCTCTTTGTGACGGCAGCATTTAGCAGCAGTCGGTGGGTACCTTCAGCACGGAGGACAAAGCGAGCCTTCTTGGGTTCATCGACCGTGATGTTGAACTTGAATGTTCCCACGCCACGCTCTTTCCACCCTCTATTTGAACCTTCGCCAGACATGTTGTAAAGCTTTGCGCGGCCGGCCCAGATGGTCTCTTCGCCTTCTTCACCAGTCTCGTGTGCTTCAGGAAGGTTAACAGGATGACATGAGGTGGCGGTGATTGGCTTACGTTGTTGCGAGAGGAGCGGCTGACTTGATTGTCGCTCTTCCTTGTCTGCGTTCTTTTCTGGGTCTTCGTCGTCGTCGCCCTCTTCATCATCAGAAGGCTCGCCGATTGCAGCAGCACCAAAAGGCTTCTCTTTCTCCTTGAGACCCTTAATCTCCAAACTGCCACCAGGAGCAGCGAAAGAGCCTACGGGCTTGGCTCCGCCGAAGCCTCCAAAGCCCCCACCCAGCGATCCACCAAAAGAGCTGCCTCCAAACCCGGATGTACCAGAGCTTCCCAGTGCTCCGAAGCCACCACTTGATGGCGTTGAGGAGGCTGCGCTTCCTGCGAAAGAGGACAGTTTGGCCGCGCTTGCCCCACCGAAAGGCGAGCTAGAACTTGGTTTAGAACCAGCAAGGCCCCCGAATGGAGACGCAGCTGAGGTTGCAAAGCCGCCGAAGCCAGATGACTTGAACTTTTCGTCCGACGTTTGAGGTAATGATTCGGCCTTATCGGAAGTCTTCGGCGGTTGAGGTTTGGCTGCCATAGCGGCAAAAGGCGATGCGGCGGAAGTGTTGGCAAACCCACTGCCTGGCGGTATCTGGCTCGAGCGTTAGTCTTTGACATTCACGCAGCGCTAGTTAGCTTACCTTGGTCTTCGACTCTGTTGTGTCCGTTGTTGAATCGGCTGCTTTCTTGTCTCGTAACCGCTTGGTGTCTCGCTCCTCGCCTGCCGACTTTTCTGCAGGTTTGCCATTTGCCGAGGCGTCTTCCGCCGCTTCTGCGCTAGCATCTGTATCCTTCTCGACTTGATCGCGTGTGCGCTTGTTTTTGGGGCTTGTTCCGGCTCCTGGGGTCTTATCGGCCGCAGTGGTCGTGGATGTGTTCTTGTTGGGCGATGTCATCTGCTCGTCCCCGTCGTTCTCTTGGATACTTGAGATAGTACTTGGAGAAGGCTTTCCGGGCACACCAGCCTCCAGGTCGGCTGTGATGTCCCTTGACCTCTTGCGCGCATGTCGCTCAACCTTCTTTTCTGGGTGCTTGTCCGCTTCGGCTTCCTCTTCAAAGTCTTCCCGGCTGCGCTTGCGTCGTAACCGTCCGCGCTCGCTGTCTGAGCCAGAAGCGCTGTGTTCGCCAGCTTTAACGCTGCCGTTGGGTGCGTCGTTCATGGGCCGATCGGAACTCGGGACGGGATCCGATGTGGCCTGCGCATCGATCTGTGTGTCCTTGAGCTTTTCCCTAACATTCTTTCCTTCGCTATCGCTGCTCTTATCGCTCCGTGCTGGGGACGTGGGCGCAGCTTTGGTGGTGTCGTCGGAGGCGGCAGCAGCTGCAGTTGTCACCTGCGGCTTCTCTGGCGCGTCTGTCATGGTGCAGGACGGGTTGTGTTCCAGGCGTGGGGTATGTTGGGAGTGCGCTTGGTGGATGGTGTAGCAGAGTAGTAGTAGGAGTCGCAGACGTTGGTGCGTGAGAAGGCGGTCCTTGGGCGGTCGAAATGTCTGTGTGGTTTGAGGTTGTGAATTGAGACAGTGCAAGCTTGAATAAGGACAATAGTAACTATGCTCCGCGGTGAAGACCAAGTTGCGGTCGACGGCAGGGACAATCGCAGAGGTGGTGCTCCGCGAGGCTAGTGGCGACCTTGTAGGTGGACAATGCAGCGTGATGGCTCGTTGGGTGTGCGGCGGGCAGACGATGTCGGAAAACAGGTGCAGATATGAGCTGCAGGCTTGGATTGTCGAGCGGACGGAAGCAGAGCAGATGGGCCTTGTGGTTAGTGGAGTCGGTCAATGCGCTCTAGTACCAAATTTCCACTACAATGCGCCGAATGCAACAGTGTCTAATTACACCGTCGAGTCCAGAACGCGACTGCAACGAGAGGAATGCAGACAAGGCGCGCCGTGTGTGTTGAGCGGTTAGGGGGCCGAGTGTTGGCGCTTCAGTCGGCGGTCGTGGTCGAGTGTGTTGTCGCTGCAAAGACCAATGACGAAGTGGGGAAGACAGACGGCTAATCATGAACACGGGTAGCAGCAACAACAGCGTCTACCGCTACTTGGGACATGTACATCAAGTTTACTGTAGACGTCTACTAAGTGCTACTGATTGTATTGGAATGGATTTGTGACGCCCATGAATAGCTATTTCTACAGCTTGTCCGTAACGCCAGATACCCAGCCAAACACTTTTGCATGCACAACAATGCTGCACTAGCTGATGAAGCACAGGCAGCCCAGAGCAACATAAAATACAAACAAAGGGTATACTGCGATGCCGACGCGGTTCCTTACGACTCCAGAGCCGCCCATGATGCTCACTCCCGCTGCTAGCGACCAGGCGATGAGAACGATGTAGACGGGGATGCGCACTATCATGGGTATGCCAACGGCGCTGAGGATGGAGGCAATGACGAGCGGGAAGAGCGTGTAGCCGATAATAGAGATGGACTGGAAGAAGGCACTGGCCACGATTAGCATGTAAAAGGCGTGGGTGTGCAGAGGGGACGTACATGTTGCCTCCCAGCAGCTTGATCTGCAGCGTCACGACTGCCTCGCCTATCCAGACCATGGCGAAGACGCCGGAGAAGACCAGGTCCTTCTGGTCGCCCTTTGCTCCCCACGAGAGGAACAGGCTCAGCAGCAGACAGAAGATGAGCGGGCCCCATAGGTCCCAGTCGCGCAGGCCCTCGCTCATGCCGCCCTGCAGAATAACATCTGCGTCCGGCCATCGCCCTGCAATGTTCCTGAGCCCACCGCCAAAGCCGTCGGCCTCGCCGCGCTCTGCGGCGCCAATGCCTCCCCCGCGCTGCATGATGCCGCCCAGCAGGTACTTGGGGTACAGCACCTGCTTCATCTTCTCCCAGATGGCGAAGATGTCGCGGGACAGCGTGTCCCATACTGTCTCGTCGATGGTGTTTGTGGGCGCACGGCGGTCTTCGCCGGGGATGCTCGACGTCAGGTACGACTGCGTCTGCGCAGGGTCGCGCTGGATGTTGCCCGTCAGCGGCGCGCGGTCCGACGTGCCCTGGAGAGGATCGTCGAGGTCATCGAGGGTAGCTGGTGATGGTTAGCCTCATCCACCGTCTCGTCTCGCAGGCAGCTGTGTGGATGCGACGCACCATCGTCCGGGTCAATCAGGTCACGCTCCACGGCGTCGCTGTCATAGGGGTTGCTAGTTGCGGCACTTGGCATCATTGCCGCCATGGTGGAAAACTGAAAACCCTGCGTTCACGGGTCGCGGGCTAATGCTCCAATCGGCAGCTATCGTGGGTTGTTGGAGAGGCTCTGCTGTCCTCAAGCCTACGCGCAAGCTCTCGGGGCCTCACGCCTGAGGGTGCGCTACTCGACTCGGCTAGCATCCCGCCAACGGGGAAAGCTTGAGCGGCTTAGCGCGCAGCCCTTCACTGGCCGGGCGTCACTCCCACCGTCTAGCTCGCGGCCATGCATACTGCCCCTGCGGCCGTTTCGCCGTATTTCGCACGCGGTATATATACACCTAACCACCATCGTCCGCCCTAGACACACTCCACGCACATTCCGGCCATCATGACGGACCCCGTTTTGAACGACATCTCCCACAGGCGCTTCAACCTCCTGCGAGGAAGCTGGATACTAGTCTCGCCCCACCGCACCAAGCGACCATGGCAGTAAGCATATCAGTGATTCTGTTCACGGGACGACATACTGAAACCCCACAGAGGCATGCAAGAGTCGCCGTCCAAGACAACCCTCCCAGACTATGACCCAAAGGTATCCCTTCGCCCGGACCATGCATGATATCATTCCGAAATTAATCAACCACAGTGTTATCTATGCCCTTCAAACACGCGGGCAAATGGCGAACACAACCCCAAGTTCGACAACACTTTTGTCTTCGTCAACGACTACAGTGCCGTTATGGAAGAGCAGCAAGAGTACAACCCTGACAACAAGGACGGATCTCTCGCTTCTAGATTACTCCGTGCCGAGGCCGTCACTGGAAAGTGCTATGTCATTTGCTTTTCTCCGTCTCACAACCTCACTCTTGCCGACATGTCGCCGGCGGAGATCGTCCCCATAATAGAGACCTGGACGAACATTTACGTTGCACATCTGGACCCAAAGTCGCCTCTGGCCAAGCTTGCGTCTGCCACTACTATACCACCACTATCACAAGGCACTCTCGCAGTTCCAAATGCTCAGTATCGGTATATGCAGATCTTTGAGAACAAAGGCTCGGCCATGGGCTGCTCAAATCCCCACCCACACGGCCAGGTCTGGACGACCACATCCCTACCGGAAGAGCCCGCCTTGGAGCTGGTGCAGTTGAGCAAATATCGCAAAGAGAATGGAGGCGCTCATATGCTCGTCGATTATGCAGAGCTGGAGTCAACACAAAAGACCCGCACTGTGTATGAAAACGCGAGTTTCTGGGCTGGTGTACCTTACTGGGCAGTCTGGCCGTTCGAGATAATGATTGTTCCTAAGCAACACAAGCGCTCGCTGGTAGACTTCTCTAAGGAGGAGCGAGCGGAGTTGGCTGAGTGCATAGCGGAAATTACGAGGCGCTACGACAACCTGTTCGAGACCCAGTTCCCCTACAGTAAGTCCAAAACAGTCATAATAGAGAGACATGGCTAACGAGGTTGAAGGCATGGGTCTTCATCAGGCTCCCCTTACTGGCACAGCCGATGAGATTGAGTCCAGTCATTTCCACATTCACTTCTACCCCCCACTACTGCGAAGCGCCACCGTTCGCAAGTTCCAGGTTGGCTACGAGATGATGGCCGAGCCTCAGCGCGACATCACCCCAGAGCAGGCTGCAGAGCGTCTTAGGGCGTGCGACGGTGAGCTTTACCGCAAGAACCTCGCATCTTCGCCAGACACCAACGGCGTAAACGGGGACCACTAGAGACCCGGCACGTACTTGTTATTCAATTTTGCTTTCACATGCACATAGGCCAGTCGACACAGAGCCTGGCTGGTCACATACTAAGTGCACGAGCTATTGGAGATGGGAGAGTAGATACCCAAGAAGACGATACACGATACACGATAAACGTAGAAAGTTGCATAAAGCGGAGTGCTGCAGCGGCGTTGGCAGGCATAACAGTGCATTACATTATCTTTTCTCGAATACACGTTCAATCTCAACTGTATCACATACTGTGCGCATGGCCTAGTGAGCAACCGCACCATGTGCTGTGTCCCGCTAAAAACGTCATGCCGCGGATGCTGCCCTGCCCCACCATGATCGTGCGAACCTGATCTCGACCCCGCGCTACTACCACTCGGCAGCAAGCCCCCAAGCTCTCCTCCAACTAGTTCACCGACAAACAATCACCACCACCTACCTCCCTAAACACATCTACCACCGTAAGATTACCCTACGGTCTGGACACAGGAGTAATAGACAAGAAGCTAACAGCAGGACTCTAGACCAATATGCCTGGAGCCAAGTACACCGAGACCTACAAAAAGGTCAGCGCCATGGGCGAGAAGCTCAAGGCGGCTGGAAAGCAGGGACCTAGCAACGATGAGCAGCTACACGTACGCGTTTTCTTGTTTACCCTCCCTCGCACACTCTCCCCTTCTCGTATACCCGCTATATACGACAAGAAGTCCAGATGCTGACAGTCGGTTGTGAATTCTAGTTGTACGCGTACGCCAAGGTAGCAGAGGGTAAGGACTTCAGCGAGGCCAAGAAGCCTGGCATGTTCGATCTTGCTGTACGTTTCTGCATACCTTTCCTATACCTTCGTATCCTCCGTCACGACGTACCGCCTGCCAGCCATACATACCGGTCCAATCCCAACAAACGTACGAGGACAATAACTGATAATATGATTAGGGCAAGGCCAAGTACAACAAGTGGAAGGAGGTTGTTGACGCCGGTACCACCCAGAAGGAGGCCGAGGACAAGTACGTCGAGTTGGGCGAGCAGCTATTGGCCAAGCACGACAACTAAGTGCGGGTGGATCATCAAGGCAAGACTCATGTGCGATTTAAGTATTGCTATGGTTATACCATCGCCTATATATTGTTATAAGGATCAACAATAAGAAGTGCCTCATCGACATATGTGTAGTACATGTGCTTCGGAAATGCAAGGGCCTGCATGCGCTCGGTACGGAATCTGAGTACCGGAGCTCAACGTCCATAGCCGGCCCAGGCGTGCCCCTCTCTGTCTGGCTCCATGTATTGCATAGTAGCACACCAAGGCCTCTCATCAGCCGTATAAGAACGAAGTGGTAAGTCGTATGCCATGCGGCAACCCACGACTGTCATCTTCTTCTCTTCAGCTGCCGTTCCGCTGCTACCATCATCAAGAGCATTGAGACTCTCGGGACCAGGCATATCCTCCCCAAAAACAGGAACCATGATGACTTCCTCCTGTG